CTAGTAATAACTTCTCTTTTTTTTTTTTTTGTGGGGGGGGGGGGGGGGTAAGGTTAGCAGAGAGGGGTTTCCTCAAAAAGCATAGTACAAGGAAAACTGATTTTGTTGTACGTGTTTAGTCTATAGTAAAAAAGAGAACTTCAAAACTAAATTGGTGCAGATACATTTCTTCAAAATGCCGCAATAGTTATAGGGTTCTTGTGGGAGATAGATTTGGTTTTACATAAAGATATGAAAATGCCATTTTCTTCTCACCAATTCGTAAGTGATCGTAAATGATCATTTTCATGCTATTATTAGTCCCCTTCCCCGACTTTTATTACAAACTCTCTCTTCTCGCTCCCTTAGCTGCTACCAAGCAGGAGCAAAAGAGGACTATGTTGAATTAAAATGAGTTCTCATTTCTCGGATAATTAAGCTTTGACAAGGGAGAGGAGGATCTTTCTCATACCTGACCTTACATGAGCCTAATGGAGAAAAGTGTATGCTAAATAGTAGAAGACTTCTACGGAGAAAAGAGAAAAGTCTATGCCCAATAGGGAAAGAGTGCGATAAAAGGATGTCCATCTGTCAATGGTTAGCTCGTAGACGTAACTATTGGGCCTAGATTTGTTGATGGATCTGGTCTTGTCGAATAGGGTATCAAAAGAGTATACATCTCCTCTATGATGGGGTTTTGTTAAATTATGTGAAATGCAATTAATCATATGTCTAGTAATATCCTTTGATATGTTGGTACAAACTTGGTGTTTTTGGACCTACATATACTAGTGTAGAAAGATATTGGAAGTTTCTCAAATTCCGTACAATATTATCTGCCGTATCACAAAATGCTAGCAAATATTTGGTTTCCAAGATTCATTTAGCCCAAATTGCATCTTATTTTTATAAAAATCGAATCGGATCTTCCTTCATGTATTAACAACTACACCACTTGGAGAAGGGAGATCCATTTTGATTTAGGAGTAAATAAACTATATTTCTCTTATTTTATTTCAAGAAAAATTCAGAAAAGTGATAATACTAAGGATAATATGGGATCTTTTAGTTACGGTATTATTATATTATGATTTCTTCCCAATTAAATTGAAAATTCACTCTTCCCAATAAGCATAAACATTGTTTAATACTTATTTAGTAAAATCTCTTCAAGTTACGCCTATGAGAACAGCGTGCATTTGACTTCATTCGGATTTGGTTTTCAACCAAAAAAAATAAGAGAATAATTTTAATCTTTAGTTGGTGCATGTAGTTGTTTCATTATGTATCAAAAAATGAACTTCTTTATATTTGTTGTATAAATGAACTTTTATACTTGTTAGTGTGATATAATTTGAACCTAAAAAGTTTTAAAAGAACATGTCACTTATTTAAGTGTGTTCGAATCGGGGTTTGAAACCAAATCCCTCCTCAAGAGAATAGATGGGGCGATTCGGGTGAGATCCAACTTTCAATTCACTCGTGGGATCTGGGTGGTTCGGGGGGACCACCACAACTCCTCTATTCTCGAGAACCCATACATCCCTTATCAGTGTATGGAACTATCTCTCGAGCACAAGTTTAGGAAAGGCTTACGATGGATACTTAGGCACCCTTCTGAATATTAAGTATGAATCATAATTCAACTATTTCTTAATCTATTTCGTGTTCCAGATATTCGAATAAATATCTGACGAAGTAGAACCATCTCTATCAAGATGAGAGACTCATTCTATGTACTAGCTAGCTATCAATAGGATCAACTATAACAAGTCACACACTCATACTTCGGAAATACAAAAACAAAGAAATTTCATGATCGAACTGCCCCAAAAAAATAGTACGGACTATTGAGAGGAGTCAAATCCTAATTTTAAATATTCTCTCCGATCCATATTATGTGAAATATTTTTAAAAAAATATTTAAAGATTACTTTCCACTATTATTCTTTTGATCATTTTCAAATGAAAATGTAAAGTAGTTAAAGAATCTCATTAAATAAAGGATAAAACATGGAAAACGTCCTAATAATTCTTTTGAACTTAAAACTATGAAAAAAGTTCCAACAATTTATCGCGGAAGCATAATAGTGCAGTGTAGGGGTGACAAATGGTTGGATTGGATCGGATTTGGATGGATTGAGCAAAAATTGTTTGGATTGCAATCCACCCAAATAGAATATGAGTAAATATGGATTTGGTCAAATATGATTTGGGTAAAATGGTTCTAACCCATTTAAAAAAATCTATTTTTTTTAAAAAAATTATGTCCTCCCCTGGGCACCCCCCACCCTCCTCGGGAACCCCCACCTTCCACCAACCGACCCCTAAATTTTATTTTGTTTTTCAAAAACAAAAAAAATTCTGTTTTTCCAAAAAAAATAAAAAATTACCCCCTTCCCAGGCCCCCCCTCCCCCCAATCGACCCCTAATTTTTTCAAAAGGAAAAAAAAAATTACCCTCTCCCCCGGGGAACCCTCACCCCCAGCCCCTTTCCACCAACCTACCCCTAATTTTTTTTTGTTTTCCAAAAACAAAAAAAAATCTGTTTTTTCAATCAAGTTTGAAAATTAATTGAATTTTTGAAAATTAATATTAATTTTTTTATTTTTTAGCACAATTAAGAATTTTGAGTGGAAGTGAAAACTAAGTGATCTATTATGGGTCAATATGAATACCCATATTATTTTAACTATATTTGTAGAGACTCTTAAAATAATTTGAAGCCCATATTTAACCAATTAAAATATGAGTGATCCGAGTCATTAAATATGAACAAAATGAACTCATTTCAATAATATGGGTTGAAATTGCCACCCCTAGTGCAGTGAATAGGCTGCCACAATGAAAGCAAACTTAATTGAATGATGGAAGGAGTAATATAAATGGACTGAAAATCACCATTGATGCTTCATAATTATTAGTTCTTGAGACAACACATCTCTGTTGGTGGAAATTAATTGTAGCAAATTTTAAGCAGATTTGGTCCCCATTATAACGATTTTGCTGGATACGCTATCATTTATTTCCAAAATCTTTTTTATTTTTGCACCAGATATTCTGCATCATATTCCGCCATTTAATTGAAATATTGTGACCTAAGTCTTTTTATTTTTATTTTTTTAACAAATAAAGTAATTTGATATGAATTTAAGTAATATACATGGATAATGCAATTATGAATTTTACATCATTAAAATAATCTCACTGTTTTAGCAAGTTGTCCGCCGTCTTACCAATTAATTATGTGCAACGAACTATAGTTATCTTTTAATTGACTAATATTTTACCCTATTAATGTGTATATACAAGTTTATACAACTACTTACGAGTTACAAACATTAACACCTTGTTTGGATGGTTGTTATTCGTTGTATTGCATCGTAAGTTTAAATATACAACGTTTGTTTTGATTGTTATTTAAATTCTATTATATTGTATCATTTAAATCTATCATTTGATAACGACGAAAAGAACTATGTAACGACATGTTTAGTGTGATTGCATCATTACCTCAATATTTTCTTCTCATTTTGTCTTTATTTATTATTTAATAATTATATTTCATCTTTTACCCTACGTTTTCATTGTAGTTTTACCCCGTACCTTACTTTTCTTGTAGATTTATCATTCAAATTATGGATGTGTGACATCATGAAACGATAGAGAATGATACAATCTATTCAAACAGTGTATTCATTAAAATAATACAATATAATATAATAAAATACAATACGATATATTATGAAATAATACGTAACAATCATCCAAACAAAGTGTAATGTTAAAATATTGTCCTCTGCCACCTCCCTCTAAAATATATATGTATAAAAAAGGAATGAGCTGGATGGAGGAATCAACATAGTGATACTGTTTTAGTGAAAAATCAAATATGAAGATCACCAAATATCTGTGACAATCCCTTTCTTTGATTTTATTTATTTTCATCATTTTCCCAAGAAAATTCTCACCATCTTTCCCTTCCTCAAATCACACCTTTTTAATTAGTATATATATACACACACCAATCACATTACTTTTATTTTGAACTACTTGATTCTTCTTGCTTCTTTCTCCCTATATATTTAGTGAAAGTGAAAGTGAAATTTCTCTGAATTAAATTATAGCGAAAGAAATGGAGATGTTTGCTAATTCATCATCGATTTCAAAGGGAATGGGGGAAGTTGTTGCAAGTGATGAACCTCATGTCTTAGCTGTTGATGACAATCTTGTTGATCGTAAACTTGTTGAAATATTACTCAAGAAATCTTCTTGCAAAGGTAATCACACTATTCAATCTTCTATTTATTTTATTCACAATCATGTGGTGCATTTTTTAGACTTGATACCAATGTAATGTTGAATTATTGTCTTTCAAGTTTGTGCACTAGAACTACAAATTTATGCAAGGAATTATAAAACTAAACTAAAATATTACACTTCAATTTTTTGAACTTGCAAGTTTTGGTAATGTCAACATCCTGCCTATGGCAAGACCATGAATGGTTGGGGGCTCGGGTCAGAGTCATGTTCGAACATGTCACTTGCTTGGTGAACTTGGTTAAGAAACAAAATTGTATATTTACCTATAGTTTTTGACCTGATAATAAACACTTGATCTTAACAATAAGTTTTGCACTTCCTTTTCACTAAACAAAAATCTTCTATTATGACAAAGAGATTCAATAGTTCATATATCACAAAAAAATTATTTTCACCATATTTACATAGTATAAAAATAATTTTTTGGCAAAGATACCTCTCCCAAAAAACATAAAAGAAGAATTTATGTACATTTTGCATTGAAGAAAGTTCCACATTCGAGGGTAAAAAGCGTCTCTATAGTCTATACATTCGGACACAAAATCTCTAGTTAAATAAATATAAAGTAAATATCAATTTGGTACAGCAAATTAACTAAATTGATATTTACTTGTACCAAATCTTTTAAGTCAACCTTTTGGATTTGGCAACAGCTGTGTCTACGTAATCACACTACTTTTCTTTTGCTGTAAAATCTTTGAGAATCTTAATAGTTGTAGATTTTTTTTTAGCCCTTGTACTTCATAACGTGCATGACTCAATTATTTTTCCTTATCCAAAAATAGGAAAATTCACATGCCTGGATAACATAATTATACAACATATTCTGTTTTTTGGTCGGGGATTAAACTGTTTAGCTATAATGACCATGTGTATGTATGGATGTTTATTGTGTTAAATAAATGTGTAACCAGTGACGGAACCAGAATTTTCACTAAGAGGTTCAAAATATGAATTAGATGAAAACAATTTTTTTAAACCCTTCGACCCTAACTGGCTCCCCTAAACACAAATATTAAAGCATAAGTGAAAGATGGATCTATTTCATTGATTTGCATGTTTTGTTCAGTAACTACTGCAGAAGATGGTCTGAGGGCATTAGAGTATTTGGGTTTGGCAGCACATCAAGATAGCTCGGCAAATAGCAATGTGAGTCTCTTCTCTATTCAGTGTATATAACTTAAACTCGTAAAGATGAAAATGTGAATGCAGGCTATTACTAAAGTTGTGGTTATAATGAATATACTTTAATTTGTTGTGCAGGGCTCAAAGGTTAATATGATAATAACAGATTATTGTATGCCAGGAATGACTGGTTATGAACTGCTCAAGAAAATAAAGGTACTAACTGTTTTGTTAATATAGTTATTCCTTAAGAATTTGAACTTAATATGTTGCTTCAATTCAATGCATTACAAGCAGGAATCGTCGATGATGAAGGATGTGCCAGTTGTGATAATGTCATCCGAGAATATCCCAACTCGAATTAATCAGTAATTATAACAACTCTTCATTACTATGTAACATTGTCATCTGATACTGAACAAAGATTTGTGTAAAATTGACAGATGTATGGAAGAAGGAGCTCAAATATTCATGCTGAAGCCTCTGAAACACTCTGATGTCGAAAGGCTAAGATGCCAAATAATGCAATGCCGAGGATAGATAGATATTAATATGTATGAGTTATTATGAGAGTCGATCAGTCTAAATGACTCGTGAAGTTAAATGTTTAATGTCTATTTATCTATCTTTTGAGATTTAGATCAAATCCCTGCTTTTATGAAGGAATCATATTTTCAGTTATGCAGAATTTACTTTTACACAAAAGCTGTGGAGCCAAATTTGTTAAGGACTAATTCATTGTATGATAGCCTAGTATATGACTTATTATCCTCAAAACTAGATTTAAGTTAGAGATATATACTTGTCAGTGTAAAGATATTTTTATATAACTACTGTTGTTTAACCATTTTAAAATTGCTAAATGGTCAATGCTCTCATAAAAAGGAAGTGGTAAAGAAATATATTAAAACATTTCAGCTATGGCTTTCCATCCCTTTAGCATAAGGTCTACTTTATCTGATTCCTTTGCTCCACCTATTTTGTGTCATAGCTCATATTTCGAGTCAAAATGGTGTATTTAAGAGAACTGTAGCATTCAAAACTCGGAATGATAGGTAATACTTGACATAATTCGCTTGGCGTATGACTCAATAAGATACAAGTCCCTCAACATTTGCCAAAAATTGTAGCATTTAGACATTAGTATTTGTTAGTTATTCATCACATCAATCATCATAACATTATATCTCTCTTCCTTAACAGAACTTAAGAAAGTTGGAGATTCACAATCACCAAGTCCATTAGCCAAGTCCTACTAGGATTGCAGTTTTCTATTTCCTAAAGAACAAAAAAACAGAATGGGGCATCTGTGCAGTTTACGAAAATCAAAGGGTCGAGAAACTCAACACCACTATACTCTTTCAAACAAACGAAGTTACATGATTTGCAACAGCATATAGTTGAACAAGATTCTATTTTTCTTCCACCCGTGAACAAACAACAACTCAAAAATTATAACTGGTACTAGGTAAAGTATACACAAACAAAGAAAATTGAAATACTAAACAATCCTCTGAAATTGAAAAACAAAAATGACAACTTTGTCTCGCTATAGTAGGGAGACAATCATCAAATTGGGGGTTACAAGAAATGGCTGTGGTGGTGGTGGTGGTGTCTATGTTCATCCCATCCTAAACAGTGCAGAAAAGGGTAACAGGCCATAAAGATGCATCTTGTAAACATAGAGAAGACAGAGGAGACTAGCAAGCAAGGACAACAACAACATGCCAGTAAGGGATCATCATATGGATTGGCACCTTCATGGTGGTGGTGGTGGTGATGGTGATGACCCATCTCCTTCTTTATTTATACTGACAAAAGCAGAACAAATAATTAGCCATTATTCAATTAACAAATCAAAAAACACCCACTTCCTTATATACTATCTGAGTCTTGATGAAAAAGATGGAATCTTTAGTATAAAAATGAAACTCAAATCAAGCAAAGAACGTACCGTTGTGAGTTGTGAAATGAACCTTCCTCTTTTCTTTTGTCAATTGTTTAATTATTGCAAGCTACAAAGGAAAAGCTATACCAAAATGAATCATAAGTTGAATTTGGGGGAAATTTATAAGACTTGTGAATGGCGTTGGGTCGAACAGAGATTTCAGCAATTTTTAGATAACTTAATAGCAGTGTCCATCCAATTGACGTGGCAACACCTAAGTGGTAGATAGAGTTGACACTCGAAATTAAAATCCCCCATTTCTCATACGCGGATTCGTAATAATTCCATCCTGGAAATGAACTTACCTTCTAACTTAAGGAATTGCTCTTTCCTTCTAACACTTTGTTTGGATGGTTGTTAATTGTTATCTATTATTTCATAAATCATAATTGTATTGTATCATTTTCTGTTGTTATATAATGTCACACATCTATAATTTGAATGATAAACCTACAAGAAAACTAAAGTACGAGATAGAGCTACTAAGAAAATGTATGATAGAAGATGAAATATGATTATTAAATAATGAATAAAGACAAAATGAGATGAAAATATTAAGGTAACGATGCAATCACACCAAATCGATCGTTACATAAAATAGATATTTTTGTTGTTACCTAACAATGGATTTAAACGATACGATATAATAGAATTTAAGTAACAATCAAAATAAACATTGTATTTAAACTAACAATACAATACAATATAACAGGTAACAACCATCCAATGATTTATCCTATTTTATTTTATTCTTTATTCAATATTAAATAACTACATATACTAATTATTATGTTAATTACTCAGGAAATATCTTACTCGCGCCAGATATTTTAACAAAACTAAGCTTTTAACCTCAAAGCATGGCTATGTGGTATAAAATTAGTATGACAGATGCATATCCTGCATTCAATTTTTTGTTATAAACATCAGGTGCGCAAAAGTATTTTCAGAAGACTCGTTACATTCAAAGGCCAAGAAGTGAAGAAAGAGTATATCCAGCCTAAAAGGGGAAGGAAAAACAAAAATATTGATAATGGAAAAAGTATTATAGCACAAAATAAGTAAGCATTCATATTTGAATTTGATGTATTTGGTTATCACATATGACCACCACAAGGATCTCTTTTTGTATCTTCTCTAAATTAGCATGAAGCTTAATCCACTTCACAATATGTTTGAAGTTTCAATTACTCAGCCTACAATTGTGATTGCCCCTAAGAACTAGACTTCACCGCCAAGCTCACTTGCTGGACTTCTCCGGCTATTCGTCAACAAGAGATGCTTCAGAAAGATGCCAATCTTCCATGCAACATTGTTTCAGTTCTCCCGTCCAACTTGCTAATCTTCAACCACCACGTATTTCAGTCTGATCTTCTACGAAAAATAGAGAGAAAAAAAAGGAGGTATAAATAGTATCTGGGCAAACTTCTTATGTCCATGCGTGAATGGGAAGGTTGAAAGAACAACAGAAAATAAATATCATCATTCTCTTTTGTCCTCCTCAAGAACAACTTCTCCAAGACTAAACACATGATCTGCTGTAATAGATGCCTTCCTCTCCTTCCTATCCAGTTTAGACAGATCTCCTCCCACTATAACACTACTGCCTGTGAGGGACAGACCCTCCTCCTCGTCATCAAGAGCCTCCCCTGAGTATGCGTATCTGTGAAGTAGCAAAGAGATGCCAAATTAGAGACTATTTTACAGCATTGAGAGAATGACAGGCTATAAAACCAAAAAGTGGAATATACAGATTTTCTACGTTCCAACTTTCCTATTCTCTCGCGAAGTACAAACACTGTCACCACCAGAGAATTAACTTTTACAAACCTATCCCAACTCATCAAAACCCAACCCTAAATACATTGGACAAACAAAACAGGTTTTCTATAGGCTTACTTAATCTTAGAACAGTTGGAAAGGCACAAGAACTATGTCGGAGCTTCAGATATCATTATTTGCACATAGAATTCATAATTACTCGTATTGGCTAGATGAAAGAAGATTCAGAGCTTTACTCATGCAGAGGATGTTGCATCCATAAACCTTCTTTGAATAATTTTATGCTAATTAGTTCGTATGACCCTCTGTCTGTGCATTAGTTTCCAACTATATCAAACTGTTTTTCTGTTATAAAGATACAAGGCTCTTTTTTGCCCATAAAATTAAAAGATGGGAACAAGCAAAATGCTTCATCCATTTTGATAAAACTTGTCAATTTAGGAGATGAACATCAAAAGAATCACTCACATCTTTCAACCCACATTGTTATACTTGTAAAAAACTAATTCTGCACAAACTATTTGTACAGACAAATAGAAATGCCAAAAATGATTCTGAAAGGATTCTATATTTCCACCCAACTCCACATATTGAAGGCCAAGAATTTTTGTCACTCTTGAGCACTTTGTCTTCCTATCCTCAACTCAATATAGATCTCTTAATAGTCATTGGTAATGAATAGTGCATACCATCTTCCCCAGTAGCCCAAAGACTCACTTTGCAGCATCAAATCACAGTTAATCATGAATAGGCACCATTCTTTCCCTTTATAAATGGTATCAGTAGCCATCATCAATGCACGTTTAGATCATTCTATGACTGGAAGTAGGTTTTAATCCTCATTTCTTTACAATAATCATCAGACAGTATCAATAGAAGCAATACTAATTATATTGGCAATAAAAGGAAGGGGTAAGGATGTTCACCTGGTTGGGTTATTCGAAGGAGCCCAGAGAATGCATATTACCCATAAAAGCAAGTATGCTAGTAATGTCCAGAAAGCAGGTATAATCCAGGCTCTTCGCCACAACTCACTCAATGGATCACTTGCATTAAAGTACAGCTGAATAAACAAGGAAATTAGCTTTCGTAGAGAAATCAAGAAAACTCAAACACAGTGATATGACATGAAGAGATGCAGAGCGAAATTTTTGTAGGAAATCATCAACAGCACAAGATATGCATTGTTGCATAATACAGTAAGTACTTAGAGAAACTTCCAGATACAGGGAGACTTAAAATATTGTGGAAAGAAGAAGAAATAGAACCATAAAAGATACCTCATAGCCAATCCAAGCAACAGAGAGAAGAACTGAAACGGCTAGAGAATTGGTAAATTTTCGGTACAGTTCAAGCTTGGCCAGGCTTCTCCGAACCTGAGGTCCATATGGGCAAAAAGGAAGCTTTCAGTTTACATAAAAGGATGTGTGAGTTGTTGTCCTCTCACATTGAAGAAGATCAATAACACTTTCCAATCAAAGAAATTACAAAACAACTTAAAACAGTTGACAATCATGTAAACCTTCTCCTACGCGTTAAGAAGAGTTAAAAAAGAGTGTGATGGACTATTATTGGTTCTATTGTTGCAGTTCTCCATGTCTACCAACCAGAGTTCAAAGGAATCAGTTACATCCACCAAACAATAAAAAAAGAAAGAATATGATTATGATGAAAATGCAATCTTTTCCTTTGAGCAAAGAAGAAATTGGGAAACGCAAAATCTGACAGTAAATAGATGATCAACCATCCTTTGTTTATTTAATTATTTTTTAAGAAGGTAAAACTGATCAACCATCTTATTTTTGTGACTAGTACTTTTTCACCAATCTATAACTGCTAGAATAAAGAGAAGGAAAGTTGTCATCACCTGAAGCTTCTCTAATGTTTTGGACAATGAGGAAAATATCCATACGATGAAGCAGGAATCTAATAAAGCAACAGGTAACACCAAAAAGATTCTCGCTTTTCCAGAGAAGTCATTGATATTACCCAAATGTTCAACCAGCTCCAAGGCTTCAGAAGCTAGAAAGTATACCACACCCAAAAGAAGTACCTTTGAGGTTATACCTCCCAGTGTGGGTCTTACAACACCATAGCCCATCGATACCACTAGAAGAAGTAAACGTGAGACAGTCTTCTTGATAGCACTGAAGGTAACAGCCCACATGGTGATTCCCATTGGCCTGCTTCCTGTAGCATTAAAATTTGCATATTCAAAATACCAAAGAGCCATTTCACACATTCCAAGACCAATCACGGCAGTAATGTGATAGTGCAATTGTATTATATCCTTCCAATGTTGCACAAACCGTAAAAACCACAAGAGACCAAGAATGAGGTATGCTAGAGACATCAAACCGTAAAATGTCATCAGTGGTGCCATCTTCCCAGGTAGATAGCCTTCTGGGTTTCTCCAAACAGTTCTACCACTAATTAATGTGCCCTTGAGTTCCGGATTGCAGAACATAAAATAGAGATAATACATTCCAGTCTTGTTGATCTGAACATTATTGAATACCACATTAGCTTCTTCACTGTTTCCTTCAAAGGACGTCTGAATCCGTTTTGGCCACCCAGGGTTCTCAGGATCTTGATGGATTATAACCTCTCCTACCTTGCAGGATCCATCTTTGGCAAGAGCCGGGGTGCAGCATATTGCATCAGAATTCAGATAGGAACCCCCAATTTCGTTCCTGTCTTTGACCTCCAGTATTATGGCTTCAACAATTCCACTACTCTGCTGCATCTCATTTTGCTTATTTGCAGCCTCCTTTGTTCTTCTAAAGATGATTGACTCAAACCTGAAATCATTATGGACGGCATCCGTGAGTCACTGAAATTATTCATTACATATTTTGGATTCTATTTATGAATCACACACCATCAATACCCAATAAATGCATTAGCTAATGAATAATAAAATAAAAAAGAATTTGGTTATGCAAAGACAAACATCAAAACATTTTATTTCTGGAGAACACATTGAAATTTTTATCTATTCGGAAATATCTGAACTTCTCCATGACTTATTCCACCTAGACGTTTTTTGTCAATCTTTAATCATAGAAAGTTTCATCAAAACACTGTCCTGGTACAAATCCTACATCATGTAGGATTATTATGTTTCACCAATTTTTCTGTGCAACCAAAACTGAAATTAATCCATAAATCGATTTCAACAACAAGAAGAAGAAGAAGAAGAAGAACAACAACAACAACAATAAACCCAGTAAAATCCCATAGGCAGGGTCTCGGTGGGGTAGTGTGTACGCAAACCTCACCCCTACCTTATGATGATAGGGTGGTAAAATATTTCTTTAAGAAAACAATCTCCATGGAGAACATTTACCACCACCAAATGCTTAAAAAACATAACTTTATGTATTTCACTCTTTGCATACTCTCTTTATTACTTCCTGTTGTTTCAGTTGCCTCTGTTATCTTATTATTTAGCTGCTAGTGC